CCAAATATTCTCTAAAAATGTATAATAAATATACATTTTAGACTAGGTCCTCAAAACAAAGGATGAAATCATGTCATCTGTGCATTTATTTTTAGATTTTAAGCCTTTAAAAGTTAACTAAACCTTATGACACAAAAAAATGAACGTCACGTCATTGTCCCCTGTACAACAGCTTACCTCATGCGAGCAGAGAACTGTCATCATGATAATATCTGTCTCTCCATACTGTAATCTGTTCTGCACATGTTAAATTTACAAATTATCCCTGCACTCATGTTCACTTCATTTGGCTGTCTACTCAACGTTATATTGTATAGTTTCTGCTTATTATATGTCTACACTCATGCATTTTAACTTATGTCAATACTGTCCATTAACAACTCTGTTTTTGCACATTTACATTTAATCTTTCATATTTAAATTACAAATTACAAATTATTATATTGTCTTTAGATTTGCTAACATTGTGCTTTTTACTCATATTGTGTGTTGGATAACCTGTTGCTGTAACAATTTCCCAGTTTGGGCTCAATAAAGTAATTCTATTCTATTCTATTCTATCGTTGTTGTTCACTGATAACATCCTACAGCCAAACTGAATTCTATTTCCTTTGGCTGTTTCAAAGTAAAAGCATTGAAATGGAGAAGTCCAAATGAAAGAAACTCAGTTACAAACACGCACACACACACACACACACACACACACACACACACACACACACAGTTTAACAAGCTTGAGTATGAAGAGAGAGTGAAATGAAGAGTTGAGTGTAAATCCTGGTTGTTCAAAGTGTAAATATGATCAGCTGTACTCACCAGTGTTTGCAGAAACTCTGTTGTGTCGTTGACAAAGATTGGATGAAGTTAGTTTAATTTCTTTGAGGAGAAACGGAGACCTTTCTGGACGGCTGCGTGGCTGACACCCTGACAAACTTTAACTTTCATTTCTTCTGAGTGATGCTGAAGCTCTCCTCCCTCACCTGTGGCTCCACCTCTATCTGCAGCTCATTGACGTGTGTGACACCCTCTGTTGATTGCAAGCTGATTTTCACGAAAATCCAAGTTTAAAAGAGTCTGAATCCGAAACTGCCAGCAGAACAAGCTCTGATCTGAAAACTAGGAAGGTCTTGTCAGCTAGGTGGGCAAATTGAAACATGCTTTGATTAGATATTGATAGTGGGTCGTTGTCAGGCTTTGTTTGGGCTGAGCACTTAAGTTTCATTCTCTGAGCATCAACAGGAGAGGCAGTCACACCCTCTGTTGATTGCAAGTTGAAAATCTGGGGTGAGATTTTCACGAAAATCCAAGTTTAAAGTAGTCTGAATACGAAACTGCCAGCAGAACAAGCTCTGATCTGAAAACTAGGAAAGCGTCTGAGGCTTCAGAGTGGCCACAGAGCCCCAGCATCCCCGACAACTGTTTTGCCTATTTCCTCTGGTCATCTCCTAAACACAACATGTGCTACAAAGAAATCTCTGTCATTCATGGGAACAGGAAAAGACACACCTGTCACAGGCAACACAATCTTAACAACTTGTCTCTACTTAAGAAAGCCTCTGCTCCCCACCCTTCATGTACTTGTGGCCTCTGGAACTGGCTATCTGCTGTGAATGCAACTAAATTCATCCAAGCACTTGCAAAAATGTCAGACATTCAGGCACTTGCCCTTACTGAAACCTGGATCCGCCCAGAAAACACAGTCACACCAGCTGCTCTTTCTGTTGACACAGTGTTCTCACACACACCCCGCTCTGTTGGACGTGGAGGTGGTGCAGGTATCCTCATTTCTAATACCTGGAAATTCAATAAACTCTTCCCCCTGACAACTCCTCATTTTAATATCACACAATCATGGTTACTGCTCCTATTAAAATGTACATTGCTATCATTTACTGCCCACCAGGGTGTAATCTGAATGATTTTGTTGTGGAACTGGACATGCTACTCTCAGAAATCCCTGATGATGGAACACCACTGATTGTAATGGGAGACATGAATATACACACTGATAAAGCCCAGGCAACAGATTTCCTTGCTCTTCTATCCTCATTTGACCTCACACAGGTCCCAACTCCTCCTACCCACAAAGATGGCAACACTCTTGATTAAATTCTGACTCGGAACTACTCGACAGCAAACCTGACTGTCACCCCTCTGCATCTATCAGACCACTTCTTTATTCAATTCACAATCTCCTTGCCGGAACTCCCTCAGGCACAGGCCTGCCCATAAGGTATTTACCGCAATCTCCACAGACAAGGCTACAGACATACTTTGCTCCACGCTAGCCTCATCTCTGAACAAACTCTGCCCTCTGGTGTCCAAACCCGCTCACAAAACCCACCCTAGTCCATGGCTCACTGAAGTCATATGAGAGCAAAGAGCAGGGCTGAGGTCAGCAGAGAGAAAATGGCAAAAGTACAAACAGTCCGCTGACCTCAATGACTATAAGAAAAGACTTGTCTCATTCTCCTCCAGCCTGAAAATGGCCAAGACAACATATTATCAGAACAAGATATGCAATGCCACAGATACAAGAAAAATGTTTTCTGTTTTTAACTCACTGCTTCAACCACCTCCTCCTCCACCCTCCGATCTGTTCACACACATGTTTGCCTCGTATTTTACTGAAAAAGTTGCAACCATCAGTAACCAGTTTTCTGAGCCTGACCAACTCAGCCCAAAGGCACCAACCAAAAGTGCCTCACTCGACTCATTCTCCTCTCTGACTGAGGACAAAGTCTCTAAGCTTGTGCTAGACTCTCCTGCAGACCATTTCCTCTCTGCTTAATGCTGCACTAAACATTTCATCAACTCCTCTCTGTCAACGGGTGTGTTCCCCACCGCATTCAAGCAAGCGCGGGTCACCCCTCTGCTCAAAAAACCCACACTAAACCCAGCCCAGGTTGAAAACTACTGCCCTTTCTGTCAAAAATACTTGAGCGCACAGTCTTTAAGCAAGTCTCGGAGTTCCTGTCCAGAAACGATCTGTTTGACCCAAATCAGTCAGGCTTTAAGCAGGGCCACTCTACTGAAACTGCACTACTGTCAGTAACAGAATCGCTACGAGCTGCCAGAGCTGCGGGTCAGTCCTCAGTTCTATTACTGCTAGACCTGTCTGCTGCCTTTGACACAGTCAACCATCAAATCCTCCTATTCACACTCTCTGAACTTGGCATCTCAGGATCTGCCCTCTGCTGGTTCGTGTCCTACCTCTCTAGGTGATCCTTTAGAGTGTCGTGGAAGGGAGAAGTGTCCAAAGCGCAGTTTATCCACAGGGGTACCTCAAGGGTCAGTGCTTGGTCCCCTTCTCTTCTCCATATACACAAGCTCACTTGGTTCAATAATCAGCTCTCATGGCTTCTCATACCACTGCTATGCTGACGATACCCAGCTCTTCCTGTAATTCCCGCCAGACGATGTTACAGTCTCAGCAAGAATCTTGCCATGCCTAGCTGATATCTCTAAATGGATGAATGAACGCCACCTTCAACTCAGTCTTTCAAAGACTGAGCTCCTTGTCATCCCAGCCAGTCCCTCTATGCAACCACAGATCAATATCCAGCTTTGAACAACCAAACGCATGCCCACAAAGTCTGCCTGGAACCTGGGTGTCATGATTGATGACCAGCTAACTTTTCAGGTTCAAGTAGCCTCAATTGCCCAGTCATGTCAATTTGCCCTGTAAAAAATCAGGAAGATCAGACCTTACCTGTCAGAACATGCTACACAGCTCCTGGTACAGGTTTTTGTGATAGCACGCATTGACTATTGCAACTCTCTACTGGCAGGTCTTCCTACATGCACTATAAAACCCCCGGCAGCTGATACAAAATGCAGCAGCACGACTGGTCTTCAACCTTCCTAAAAGAGCACATGTCACTCTGCTGTTCATCTCCTTACACTGGCTCCCAGTTACTGCTCGCATCAAATTTAAAACTCTGCTGCTCGCTTACAAAACAGCGACAAAAACGGCTCCTTCTTACCTAAACTCTATAATCCAGGTCTACACTCCCTCCCACCCACTACGCTCTGCCAATGAAAGGCGTCTGATCCAACCTTCACAAAAGGGGCCTAAGACGCTGACTAGCCTCTTCTCCTCTGTCGCCCCCCCGGTGGTGGAATGAACTTCCAAACTCCATTTGATCTGCACCTTTAAGAAAAAGCTAAAGACCCAGCTCTTTCATGAATACCTACTAACTTAATGATGATGGTCTCAGTATTATTGATGATCATGATGATGGTAATGACCATGGTTTTTGTTTGCTTTGACTCTGATCACTTCCTGTCAGCACCTGTGTGTCCAATCGGACTCAAAGCTGATCTTTTGCTCTTACTGATATTGTTCCCTTTTTCTAGATCCTTGGTTGTGTTGTACTTACTCTCTGATGTATGTCGCTTTGGATAAAAGCATCTGCTAAATGAATTGTAGAATTGTAGAATAACTGCTGCTTGTGTACGATATCTAATCTGACTTCCTGCCATTGCTCTGTTTCCCGCTTTTGGCCTAACACACCTGTGTCTCATCTGCAGTTAATGTGACCTGTATATATACCCCTGTGTTTCCACCAGACCTCTGACAGATTGTCTTTGTCTCCTAAGTGTTTCATGCTTTCCAGACTTATTCTCCTCGTGTTTGCGCGCCTGGTTTTCAACTTTGATTGGATTTTTGGATTTTGTGGATTTGCCCGTGTTGGATTTTTCTGCCCTCACTGATGGCCTTCCTGTGTACAACCTAAGAACATTTGAGTAAAGAATTTTTTTTTCTGTTTTTTGTGTCCTGGACTTTCCTCTGCATCTGACTATAGTTTGGAATTGTTACACTGAGCATATTTCTGACTTTCTCTGCAGTGTGTTAAAGACGTAGCTTATTATTGAGCAGTTTTATAACCTGGAAGTTTGTCATGAAATCAAACTTCAGACTTTGTTTTTAGTCCCGGTTGACATGAATCGATATTGAATGTATTTGCATGAATTAAAAAACAACTCTCTGTACAAGATGGTGCAAAAAAACCTTTATTTTTCAAAGAATCACATTATTACAGACTGACTTGACAAATGTAGTGGTTATCTTCTGCCTTCTTCTTGAATCTTAAGTTATTTTTTTCTTAACCACGAAGTGACGACGTGACAATGTGCCTCATTCACATTTGTACGAACATTTGCCGCACAAATCTGAGATACATCGATATATTTTTACATAAATTTATTCTGATTCCGACCGCCAAGGCACGTACAGAATTGCTGCAACTATGTCATTCCCTGAAACAGCATCTAAGTCCCCAGACACACCGCTCTTTTTTTTTTACTTTTGAGGCTGTTTCTTGTGACTTCTACGTGTCTCCACCTCACTGCTCTCGTCCTGATACACCAATCAGATGTTCTTGTATGGAGAGATGGGGGCGTGGTAATATGCTGCTTGCAGGTTGCGGGCGCGCCTGCTGATTTAGAATGATTCTGATTCACTAACATACGCGAGGTGGTGAGAACAAAACTGGCTGGTACACACGTGTCATGAATCTGACGGTGATCTTATTTTATGCGCAGAGTAAGAACATTTCTACACATGTATTAGTGAATGAGGCCCATTGTTTTACATGCTGAGTCGGCTTGGTACACATGTTCCCATGTCCATGGTAAAACTACTGCGTTGCTCCGCCGTCACTCGTTTATTTATGTCGACAGCGTAACTCACAACAGTACACTTAACTTCCTGTCTCTTGATCATGTGACTACGGAAGTCTCACAACAAATCTTAAGAGTAAAATACAGAAATAATCACAGTAAATATTCATAAATATTCCTGAGATAAATACCAATATATTCTCTGCTGTACTGCTAATTATATAATTCAAACAATAACAAACTTATTACAGGAAAATGGCGCTTACAACAAAGATTTATCAAAACTGATCAGACATCAGAGAAATCAATCTGTTGATTAACTTTGGAACAACTGTTTATTCATTGTCTTTCATCATACATGCAAATTCAAAAGGAAATGTTCCTTGTGATTGAAAAGAATCCTTCCCTCCAGAATTTAAAGTAAATGTGTTCAACAAAGGTTTACATGAAAACTCTCCAAAAAGTTTGTGTGTATAAGGATGCAGCTTAAAAAAGGTCAGTGATCAGTAGATTAGTGACTAGAATGAATACACAAAGTGCACATTAAGATTAGACTGTGATGATGTTGTTCATATTTTCTTAAATCCTGCCCTTTGCTAATTCACAGCTTATTATTATTCATTTACCATTTAAGTTACTAACCATGTATCTTCCCGGAAGCTCCTGAGTTCTCTTGTCTCATAGGTTCCGCTGGATCATTGCTGGTTTGGACCGCCATGAAGGCATGACTCGCCCTACTCTGCCTCTGATTGGTTGGTACTCGTTGCCTTTCGTTAGGTTGGTTAGATTTAGGCATGAGGACTGTTGATTATTGGTTCAGGGTATGCCAATAAGAGGCAGAATAGGGCTCAACAGTGTGGTGCTGGAAGAAAAATTCCATTAATTTTCTCCATAGCGGATTTGATTATTAGCCATAATGTCATAACTATCCAAGGTAGACTTATGCTCTACCTGAGCGTAAAACAATGGTTGAAGCTCCTGTTGGAGACACGAGCTCGTATGATATCAACCTCGTTTTAAGAAAAACAAGAATTATTTGCGATATCGGGGCAAAGAAATACACTACCCACGAGTGTCACAGTGACGTCTCTGATTGGTTGAGCTTGCTGTTACCATGGTAATGTTTCCAGCCCCTTGGTGTCGCATATGAACACATAAGCAGGCTAGCTAGTTAGTTAGCTAACACGAAAAGTACTAATAACTTTGTCATGCCGTTGTGAATGTAGTTTAAATTTTCCACAACACAAACTACAAGATAGTACAAAACGTGTATTAACAGTATAAACACGATAACAACCACCAAAGTTACTTTTAAGAAGAAACTATATAATTCCCAATGGATTGTGGGTTGGATAGTTCCTTGACTACGGACGAAAATTATGTACACAGTCTTGTACCTTTGCCATTTCTTCCATTTTGAATGCCGTTTGGTGCCTAATTACATGTACTATAGTCACTAGTATTGGGGTAGCTGACTGTCTTGGTTCCAGTTGCCAATCTCTTGATATAAGGATTTCATGAAAAATTAAGAGAGGATTTGAATTGGGAAATTTACTCATGGAACCAGAGCCACTGAAAGGTGGGCAGTCACTGTTGAGCCCTATAGGGCCCTGAGTACCCTCATTTTCAAATCCAGACTCAAACCCATCTGTTCAAGATCTCCTACTTACTCTAGCATTTTACCTGTAATTACACTGTCCTACATTGCATTTATTTTTTGTATGCTGATTTTATCCATCGTTGTTTTTTAAATGTTGATTGTTGTACAATGTCCTTGTGTGTCCAGAAAGGCGCTTATAAATAAAATGTATTAGTATTATTATTATTATTAGTAGTACAGCAAGCAGCAAGTGAGGAAATATATTTAACATGAAAAGGGGCAATTTATATGATGGTTAGCGTGTGACTGTGTGAAGATGACTCTGAGGGTCAATGTGTGACACTTGGCAGCTCTGTGTAATGGGAACAAAAAAAACTAAACAGTAAAATTCAAAACAAACAAACCATAAGAACTTGAATTAAATCATCAAAGAGTATGTATTGTGCCAAACCCTCAACACCTTCTCTTGAAACTAAGATGTATAATATAAGTTGTTGCCACCAAACATGCATCTTTGTTCAGTTTGATGAAACAAGAGCAATCAGAGAAATGGTTATTTAACTCTGACAGGACAGATGATCAGAGGGGCAGAGTTTTTACCTCCTTCATTAGGATTAGGACCAAAGTAAGGGAAGAGTTTCATCCTAAAGGAGCAGTCTGTAAAGGAGTAGATCAGAGCTGCAGAGTCCACGTCATAAAAGGAAACCAAACCCTCCTCATAATCCACAAACACCCCCACCTTCTCAGGACCAGACTTCAGAGAGAGACGGACTGAAGAGTCATCAAGAGCTTCGTACTTATTTCCATTTCTCAAACCTATAGTCCAGAAACCTTTTTGAGGATTCAGTGTGATTTTTCCCTTCCTTTTACTCAACTCTCTGGCCACTCCTAAATCCCACTCAGTCTTTCCTTTAACCTGAACCTCGTAGTAAAATCTGCCTGCAGAGAAATTCTGCTTTCCTAAAACACAAGGAGCAGAAGAATATCTCCGTGGGTTGTCTGGTAGATTCTTCCTCACATCACCATGATGAACGTGTTTCCCATCTTCAGACAGGATGAGATTAGATTGTGCCGTATCAGGATCAAGAGTTACATCCACAGCATACTGCTGGACTCTCTTCAGCTCAGTTTGAACCAACTTCTTCTTCTCTTCCCTTAGAGTCTCCTCCAGCTGAGCCACAGCTTTCTTCAGTGTCCTCTCGTCAAGCGGTTGACGGACATTAACCTCTGTCCAGTCTTTGGTGGGTGGAGCAGAGTTAACAGACTGGACTCTCTGGATTAGATGGAGGTGGTCTTCAGAGCGTGAGAGCTGCTGCACATCAGTGCTCCTCTTCATCAGCTCACAGATTTCCTGCTCCAGCTCTTTGATGAAAGCTTCGGCCTGTTTCTCTGTTGTTTTCAGCTTCTTGTCGATCGTGTCGATGAACTCGGCCTGGCCCCTCTCAACAGACTCCTTCAGAGCGGTGAAGACTTGAACACCTTCTGCCATCTCTCTGTCTGCATCGTCCTTACTGAGGTCCACTGAGTGTTTGATCTCTTGAATCTTCAGTTGTCTTTTCTGGATCATCTGCTGAATTTCAGCCTCTGTCTCCTCCAGCTTTGCCTTCTTTTCTTCATATTCTTCTTTCAAAGGAACAAACTTGTGTGTCTGGTGGTCTAAAACAGAGCAGAGCATGCAGACACAGGTCTGATCGGTCTTACAGAACAGCTCCAGAGGTTTATCATGCTTCGTACACATCCTGTCCTCCAGGTTCTCCACAGGGTCGATCAGCTGGTGTCTTTTCAGACGTGAAGCTGTCAGATGAGGCTCCAGGTGAGTCTCACAGTAGGAGACCAGACAGTCTAAGCAGGACTTCAGGGCCTTCAGTTTGGGTCCAGTGCAGACGTCACAGAGAACTTCTCCTGGTTTGGACTCTTGTAGCTCTGAGCTGCTGCTGCTGGCTTCCTGCTGAGCTTTGTCTCTGAACTGACCAACCATCTCAGAGAGCAAAGTGTTGACGTGCAGCTCAGGTCTTGTGTTGAAAACCGTCTTACACATTGGACACAGGTACTGGTCGTTGGTGTTCCAGTGTTCAGTGATGCAGTTTTTGCAGAAGTTGTGTCCACATGATGTGCTAACAGGATCATTGAACACATCCAGACAGATGGAGCAGAGAAACTGATCCTCAGACCGATGATAGTTTGCAGCAGCCATATCTACACAGAGTGAAAGAAAAAGAACGATTTTGTTTCAATTACATGATTAAGTATTTTCTTAAATGGGAAAGTATAGAGATCATAATCAGTTACAAATGTTAATGTTTAAGATGCAAGTACATCGCTCCACAAAGGATCATTAAAACCGGTCAATATTTGTTAGTACTGAAGACCTGGTGTTTGGTCTTTCATCCCGCTGTTGTATTCTTCTCCTATCCCACAGAAATTAAGTAGTGCTGCACTTAGTCAAAATGTCAGGTATTTTTCTTAATATATTAGAATATTTGGTGCTTGTGATATGATAATTGAATTGATCAATTTAGCCCTTTCACTCATTATGGTCACTACAGTTGAGAGCTGTTTAACAGCTGTTTTCTGCTAGATGCATTGGTTTTGATAGAATCAGCCTCTTTAGGCAAGGCAAGGCAAGTTTATTTATATAGCACCTTTCAGACACCAGGCAATTCAAAGTGCTTTACACAGGCACAAAAAGTATTTCAAACATTTCTCAAGATAATAATAAAACAATAAGAAAAATCTAATAAGTACAATATAATAAATACAAGTTGAGTTAAAAACAGTAGGTAAAAATAAGATTTAGATACAAATATGTTTAATAAAAAGTAATTGATCGAAAGAAAACAGTAAAAATTTATTTTAAATACACACATACATATCTGTGAGTTAAACAAAGCAAAGCAGTTGAATGTCTCTAATAACCGACATGGTGGTTTACTCAAATGCCACATTGAACAGAAATGTTTAGTGGGCATTAACAAGTCATCTCATACTCTGACACCCACTGGCCAGCCATAGTAAGTGCACCAAAATTGTCTTCAAAATCAAGCTGGCCGATGGAAAGTTATCAGTGCCACGTAGCTCAGGAATATCTTCCCCATCCTGCTATTCTAGATCACTTGATGATTTTTGGCACATCAAGTAACAGCAAAGGAACAGCATTATTGTCAAACTTCCAAGTATTGACTTTGGGTTTTGAGAAAATTTAAATTGAACTACTAAATTGGACATCTTGCATTGTATAATGCATCATGTCTATAAACCCCTTGCAGGTAATCACCAGGTTCAGACTGTAATGCTGGGTATGGAGGGTGATTGTTGTTCAGGTCGATAAGAACACCAGTGAAGCAGCTTTCCTTCTTGAGTTGTCTCCTTTATTTCCAGTAAACTTGACATAAAGCCAAGTGGGTACAGTATCTGGGCATGCGTAGCAGTTTGTCTGGGGGTGTGTGCGTGTAGGAGTGTGAAAGTATGTGTGTGGTCTGCAATACAATAAAGGCAGAAATTAAACACTGTCTCTGGATTAAAGATCACTGATATTCTATTGCTAATACAAAGTGCAGTATAACACATTATCAGCACAATTTACCAAATGTAAACCCACTGTGATAAGCAATCATTAGACAACACAGGAGATAAATGAGGGTGCACACATAAGCCTCGTTAGCTAAACATACAGAAAAATGTTACTTATAATTTTCCATGTGCTAGCCATCATGCTAATCGCTAGCATGCTTATTGCTAGCTCTGTAATCTCACTTTAATACTTCTGAACATAGAACATCAACTAAATCAAATATACTTCCAGTACTTACTAGATTCTCATGGACGCACACAATACAGCACTTAACACACAACTGGCGATTCAGACAACTGCTTAACTGAACTACATGCAGTGAGTAGAACAGCACATAGTCGAAGGGGCGGGGCAATGACGTCATCACACCAAGAGCCTTTCGTACACCCCTCTATTTGAGCCCTACTCAGAACAGTCTGTTTCCTTGTCTGACTCAGAGGACAGAACAAACACCTAGCTGTGGGAGTGTCACCCACCTGGGGGAGGGGCTACTGCCCTTTGTGATGTCATGAAGGGAAAATCTCCAAACGGCCTGTTTGAGCAGGCAAAGTGAGCAGGCAAAAGACAGAGAGGATGGACTTTTCTCATCGTTGGGGGGTTTGTAGATGGACTAGAGACACATATTAGTGTTAGAGAAACATGGAGAAGTGTGTTGTACATAATGTGTGACTTTTAAAAAAAATTATAACTAATGACCTCCATAAGTTGAGTTCATAAAAATAAAAGTTACTTATGTTAACTGGCATTGGAATTTCATGTAGACGTTTTTTGTAGTGTTATGGTACTAATGTGCTTCAGGAGAAGAGTAACGATACAGTATCTCAAGTGGTACAATGCTTTAAAACTGGATATTTTTCCTTTAGGTTTTTTTCAGAAGCCGAGGTGAAAACCTGAAGGAGGAAGATACCTCATGTTAAATATATAATCCATTTGGCTCTAAGTATAACAGAAACGGTGGTCCTCACTCCCAATATAAACTGTTCAGGACCTCACTTCTACATACCGGAATGTGTGTGTGTGTGTCTGTAACTGAGTTTCTTTCATTTGGACTTTGGTTCATTTCTAACTTCCTGGTATCGTTGTTGTTCACTGATAACATCCTGCAGCCAAACTGAATTCTATTTCCTCTGGCTGTTTCACAGTAAAAGCCTTGACGTGGAGAAACCACAATGAGCCTTTTAATTTGAAGGAAGCAGAGAAGGAATTGAAAATTGTTTTCATACAAGTCAGCAAGGATTTGTCAGCAGTAAAATTCTGCACTAAAAAATCCGTCTGCACAACAGTAAAGGTAAAAATCAGCTCTTTCACCAGCAGAGGGCGCTCGTGTTTTCTAAAGTTTTTTAAAAAAGGCCATTGTTAAGTCGCCAAAAACACTTTTAGAAACAACTTGTTTTACTGCAGGATGTTATCAGTGAACAACAACGATACGAGGAAGTCCTGTGACCCAATACACACACACACACACACACACACACACACAGACACACACACACACAGACACACACACACACACAGTTTAACAAGTTTGAGTATGAAGAGAGAGTGAAATGAAGAGTTGAGTGTAAATCCTGGTTGTTCAAAGTGTAAACATGATCAGCTGTACTCACCAGTGTTTGCAGAGACTCTGCTGTGTCGTTGACAAAGATTGGATGAAGTTAATTTAATTTCTTTGAAGAGAAACGGAGACCTTTCTGGACGGCTGCGTGGTCGACACCCTGACAAACTTTAAGTTTCATTTCTTCAGAGTGACGCTGAAGCTCTCCTCCCTCAGCTGTGGCTCCTCCTCTAACTACAGCTCGTTTCTTCCCTCTGAGTCATAGGGCTGTTGTGAAATACCAGCTTCAATAGACTGATCTGATCTGATCTGAGAAGAAGAGTGTCATTAAAGTCGTCGTATCTTCTTTGTGAATAAGATAGGATGCTCGAGTTCATACATTTATTACAGTCACTCTCATGTATCAGGAGAGTTTGGTGCATGTTGTGGCAGCAGAACAGAACTGATCACGTGTTGTTTCTTTATGTTGGGCTCCATCTAGTGGTCGTTGTGTGTCATAGCAGCAGTCAGAGGTCTACATGGAGGCCTGTTGTTGCTGCAGCAGTGTAGCAGGGAATTACTCTTTTATTTCAGACTTAAGAGGGAGGCAGCCACAGAGTGCAGCATCCATAATAAAACTGTGGAGATTGTAGGGTCGTACTATCTCCACAGGGCGGCTGTGACTCAGTTGGTAGAGTCATCGTCTCTTAACCGGAAGGTCGGGGGTTCGATCTCCAGCTCCTGCAGCCACATGTCCGATGTGTCCTTGGGCAAGACACTTAAACCCAAATTGCTCCCGCTGCTTCGTCGGCGGCGTGTTAATGCATATGAATGGGATTAGTTACTTCTGATGGTCTCACTACACAGCAGCCTCTACCATCAGGGTGTGAATGTGTAGTTGTGACCTGCGGTGTAAAAGTGCTTTGAGTAGTCAGAATACTAGAAAAGCGCTATATACAGTAAGCTTGAGTCCATTTATCATTCCATTTACAAATACTTGGGCTCGTATTTGGACGACCAACTTAAATTTGATGTCAACACTAAGGCAATATTGAAGAGGGGGCAACAGAGAATCCACCTTTTAAGGAAACGGAATTCTTTCTCAGTCAGTCCTGAAATACTTTGTCATTTTTATCATTCTTTTGTTGAGAGTCTCCTTTGTTTTTCTTTTATCTGTTGGTTTCACAGCCTCTCAGTTAACGACAGAAACGGTCGTACAGGAATTGTTTAAATCTGTTCTAAGGTGTGAAACAGAGATTTGAACATTTTTTGTAAACAGCAGAGCCTCAGGAAGGTTCAGAGTATTTTTTAGCTTCTTCTGGTCATGCACTCTTAAGTGAATTTTCTCTGCTGCCTTCACGTCATCTTTATGTTTTACCTGCCTGTAAAACTAACCTCTGATTGAAATCATTCATCCCTCTGTGATCAGATTACTGAATGCTCCTTAACATTAGTACCTCTTTTAGTTCTTATCTATATTTTAACTCCTTGAGTAATCTGTTCTTTGTAAGTCAACTTGCCTTTATTTATGTTTCTCTCTCATATGTACAAGCTGCTCCACACCAATTACCCCAAGAGGGATTAATTAAGTTGTTTGAATTGAATTGAGTCCTGTAGGAGTGGTCTGACACCATGAGGCCTGTGTGGTTTCTATAAATGTTCAGAACGATATCATTTTCTGTATCTATAAACCCAGGTGTTCTTCAGAGAGACACTGAAATACCAGCGGTTCATTTTATGTTTGAAAGAATAAGGATCAACTTATAGATTAGAAAACTAAAGCTTTCTTTTCTTCCCAGTTTTGAAAACCTGAAGAAGAAACGGTGCAGAAATCAAACGGTGAAAACAGGAAACGGAATGTCATTCTTAGGTCGTGTCTGAAATCATACACTCATTCTCTCCTGCCTCCTCACTAAACAGGAAGTTACATGTAGTGGATTATATAGCGCACTCATTCAGCACGATAAAAAAACATCTCGGACACGTCTCGGCTCACTTTCCGGCCGTCGACAGTGACATCATCACTGTCGCAAAACTTAAACGTGCAGCGTAACTCCGTCTCAGGACGACACGTCAGAGAGAGACTAATCCGATGGTCATCAAGAGCTTTATATTCATTCCCATTTCTCAAACATATAGTCCAGAAATCTTTCTCAGGACTCAGTGTGATTTATCCCTTTCTTTTACTGAACTCTCTAGCCACTCCTAAATCCCACTTAGTCTTTCCTTTAACCTGAACCTCGTAGTAAAATCTGCCTGAAGAGAAACTCTGCTTTCCTAAAACACAAGTACAAGAAGAGAATCTCTCTGGGTTGTCTGGAAGATTCTTCCTCACATCACCATCATGAACTTGTTTCCCATCTTCAGACAGGACGAGATTGGGATGTGCTGTATCAGGATCAAGAGTTACATCCACAGCATACTGCTGGATGTAACTCTTCAGCTCAGCTTGAACCAACTTCTTCATCTCTTCACTGAGAGTCTCCTCCAGCTGAGCCACAGCTTTCCTTACAGTCCCCTCATAAAGTGGTTGACAGACATTAACCTCTGTCCAGTCTTTGGTGGGTGGAGCAGAGTTAACAGACTGGACTCTCTGGATTAGATGGAGGTGGTCTTCAGAGCGTGAGAGCTGCTGCACCTCAGTGCTCCTCTTCATCAGCTCACAGATTTCCTGCTCCAGCTCTTTGATGAAAGCTTCGGCCTGTTTCTCTGTTGTTTTCAGCTTCTTTACGATCGTGTCAATGAGCTCGGCCTGGCCTCTCTCAACAGACTCCTTCAGAGCGGTGAAGACTTGAACACCTTCTGCCATCTCTCTGTCTGCATCGTCCTTACTGAGGTCCACTGAGTGTTTGATCTCTTGAATCTTCAGTTGTCTTTTCTGGATCATCTGCTGAATTTCAGCCTCTGTCTCCTCCAGCTTTGCCTTCTTTTCTTCATATTCTTCTTTCAGAGGAACAAACTTGTGTGTCTGGTGGTCTAAAACAGGGCAGAGCGTGCAGACACAGGTCTGATCGGTCTTACAGAACAGCTCCAGAGGTTTATCGTGCTTCGTACACATCCTGTCCTCCAGGTTCTCCACAGGGTCGATCAGCTGGTGTCTTTTCAGACGTGGAGCTGTCAGATGAGGCTCCAGGTGAGTCTCACAGTAGGAGACCAGACAGTCTAAGCAGGACTTCAGGGCCTTCAGTTTGGTTCCAGTGCAAACATCACAGAGAACTTCTCCTGGTTTGGACTCTTGTATCTCTGAGCTACTGCTGCTGGCTTCCTGCTGAGCTTTGTCTCTGAACTGACCAACCATCTCAGAGATGAAAGTGTTGACCTGCAGCTCAGGTCTTGTGTTGAAAATCGTCTTACATATTGGACACAGGTACTGGTCGCTCATGTTCCAGTGTTCAGTGATGCAGTTTTTGCAGAAGTTGTGTCCACATGATGTGCTAACAGGATCATTGAACAAATCCAGACAGATGGAGCAGAGAAACTGATCCTCAGATCGATTATAGTTTGCAGCATAGTTAATGTTTAGATGTAATCGCTCTGCAAAGGGTTGTTAAAGGCTTGTGTTGCATTGTTGTGTTAGCATGCTAATGCTAGTGATCTTTATTATGCTCGTATCTTCACACTGCATGTAAATTTACCCGAAATGACCGTGATCTAGAAATGCTTACGTGACATTCAATTAAGCAGTGAGTACAGTATGTTATTCTTCTAGTCCCTCAATTAAACAACTTTTTCACTCTAGGGGACGAGCCGGACGAGCCGGCCGTCCCGGCGATGTAAACAAACTGAAGATATGACTCAGAAAACTCGGAAAGCATCACAGACAGTGGGACTCGGGTGTCACACCCATTGTAGACAGTCATGACTCACAGAGTTATTTTCAGAGGATATACTTGAATTCTATTACATTTAAGTGTGAAAAATCGCATATTAAGCCTTTAAAGAGGTCTTTTTATGCCTTTTTGGGGTTCGTATATTTAATCTATGTACCTACTAAAGTATGTTCACAATAGCTTAAGTTCGAAAAAAGTGTCTGTTTTCATGAACTGCCGCTCCATGCACCAGCTCGCTTCTGACTCTCTCTCTAAGGCTCTGGAGTGCCCACATTCAGAGTCCCCACGTGTGCCAAGTCTGATCTGATTGGTCGGCCTGTCGGCTCTGCCGTAATTGGTTAGTCGCTCTGCACGGTTCTCGGAAATGTCACGCCCCTTTTACCATATTGGGAATGCAGCCACTTTGCCTCAGAGGGGAGCAAAAGCATTAGCACCTTCTACTATTCTACAATTCACTTAGCAGACGCTTTTATCCAAAGTGACATACATCAGAGAGTAAGTACAACACAAGCAAGGATCTAGAAAAAAGGGAACAATGTCAGTAAAAGCAAACGATCAGCTTTGAGTCCGAATGGACACACAGGTGCTGACAGGCATTGCACAGAGGCAAAGCACAACATTGACGGCAGTTCTTGAGAGCTCTAATCAGTATAGAAACCATCTTATAAGTCATCGTTATCAAACAAAAACTATCGTGACAACCATCATCATCATCAATGATATCGAAACCATCATCATTAAGTTAGTTGGGTCTTTAGCGTTTTCTTAAAGGTGCAGAGGGACTCTGCAGATCGAATGGAGTTTGGAAGTTCATTCCACTACCGGGGGGGGCCACAGAGGTGCGTTCATTCATCCATTTAGAGATATCAGCAAGGCATGATGAGATTCTTGTAGAGACTGTAACATCGTCTGGCGGGAATGACAGGAAGAGCTGGGTATCGTCAGCATAGCAGTGGTATGAGAAGCCTTGAGAGCAGATGATTGAACCAAGTGAGCTTGTGTATATGGAGAAGAGAAGGGGACCAAGCACTGACCCTTGAGGTACCCCTGTGGATAAACTGCGCTTTGGACACTTCTCCCTTCCATGACACTCTAAAGGATCACCTAGAGAGGTAGGACAAGAACCAGCAGAGGGCAGATCCTGAGATGCCAAGTTCAGAGAGCATGGATAGGAGGATTTTATGGTTGACTGTGTCAAAGGCAGCAGACAGGTCTAGCAGTAATAGAACTGAGGACTGACCCGCAGCTCTGGCAGCTCGTAGCAATTCTGTTACTGACAGTAGTGCAGTTTCAGTAGAGTGGCCCCGCTTAAAGCCTGACTGATTTGGGTCAAACAGATCGTTTCTGGACAGGAACTCAGAGACTTGCTTAAAGACTGTGCGCTTAAGTATTTTTAACAGAAAGGGCAGTAGTTTTCAACCTGGGCTGGGTTTAGTGTGGGTTTTTTGAGCAGAGGGGTGATCCGAGCTTGCTTGAATGCAGTGGGGAACACACCTGTTGACAGAGAGGAGTTGATGATATGCTTAAGTGCAGCATTAAGCGGAGAGGAAATGGTCTGCAGGAGGCTTGATGGTATTGGGTCCAGAGAACAGGTGCTGGGCCGAGAGTCTAGCACACGGGTGCCCAACCTTTTTTGAACCAAGATCTACTTTTAAAGTTGCCAGTCTGCCGAGATCTACCAGTCCACATAGTGAGCCATAGCCTTTACTGACAGCCTACAAATGCATTTAATACTCACACAACAAACAAAAATAATTTCAGATATAATAAATGAGAGTTCTGTAAAAAATAATGCAATATCGACATACTTTTTTTTAAACTCTTATTTTAGGGTAGGCTACATTTTAATATTATGTTTGTATTTATATCACATATGTTTTCCCCTTAATTTAGTTTACAACAAACAACTTTAATCTGTGTGGAGATGTTCACAGACTACAGCAGGCTGCTGTGAGATGATTTTGCTTTTGTTAAATTAGCTGCAGACACGGTGAGAGTGAACGGAGTAAAGTCCAACCGACTGTTTGACCGGGTCACGTGTGTTCCCACCTCGGTCCGTACGGATCACGGATCAACTGTGTGCTGTAGCACTAAAAGTAAAAAGTAAAAAGGTTTGCGTGGTGGCTAGCGCTCCAGTGCAAGTGTGTGTGTGCGTTTGCGCTGTATGTTGGTGTGTCTCGTCCCCCGCGATGCTCACAGTCATGACAGCAGAGAGGAGCAGAGAAAAGTAGCTGCAGCTTCATCAAATGCGCTTAATACTCGTAGCATAGTTTCTATATGACTTTGTGGTAAAACATTTACCCCCCCCGGTTTTACCTGCACGTCCTTGCGCATGCCTGCACTCTCTCTTTCTTGCGTGCGCGCTCTCTCTCTCGCTCGCGCTCATGCACGCAGCAATTTCATGAATAAATGAAAAATTAAATACGAACAGGTCGGAAGTATACTTGGGCTCCCCACACAGGTATCGTGTGTGGGAAACACTGCAATGAGATGAAATTGAAATCACTTTTCTGTTTTACAATTGTATTTTATATTGACTAAACATCTCGCTATCGACTGTTTGGGCACCCCTGGTGTAGCACAAGCTTAGATACTTCATCCTCATTCAGAGAGGAGAATGAGCCAAGTGAGGCACTTTTGGTTGGTGCCTTTGGGCTGAGTTGGTCAGGCTCAGAAAACTGGTTACTGATGGTTGGAACCTTTTCAGTAAAATACGAGGCAAACGTGTGAACAGATCGGAGGGTGGAGGAGGAGGTGGTTGAAGCAGTGAGTTAAAAGCAGAAAACATTTTTCTTGTATCTGTGGCATTGCATATCTTGTTCTGATAATATGTTGTCTTGGCCATTTTCAGGCTGGAGGAGAATGAGACAAGTCTTTTCTTATAGTCATTGAGGTCAGCGGCCTGTTTGTATTTTTGCCATTTTCTCTCTGCTGACCTCAGCCCTGCTCTTTACTTTCTTATGACTTCCGTGAGCCATGGGCTAGGGTGGGTTTTGTGAACGGGTTTGGACACCAGAGGGCAGAGTTTGTTCAGAGATGAGGCTAGTGTGGAGCAGAGTATGTCTGTAGCCTCGTCTGTAGAGAGTGCGGTCAAGACCTTTTGGGCAGGCATGGCAGCCATTACCTCGTTAGACAGCTGAGCTGGCTTGAGCGATCGCATGTTTTGGTGGTATGACACCATTTGTGGGTGTGCCTGAGGGAGTTCCAGCAAGGAGATTGTGAATTGAATAAAGAAGTGGTCTGATAGATGTAGAGGGATGACAGTCAGGTTTGCTGTCGAGCAGTTCCGAGTCAGGATTAAATGAGTGTTGCCAGCTTTGTGGGTAGGAGGAGTTGGGACCTGCGTGAGGTCAAATGAGGATAGGAGAGCACGGAAGTCTGTTGCCTGGGCTTTATCAGTGTGTATATTCATGTCTCCTATTACAATCAGTGGTGTACCATCATCAGGGATTTCTGAGAGTAGCATGTTCAGTTCCACAACAAAATCATTCAGATTACACCCTGGTGGGCAGTAAATGATCGCAATGTACATTTTAATAGGAGCAGTAACCAAGATTGTGTGACAGTCAAATGAGGAGTTGTTGCTCAGTGGGAAGAGTTTATTGAAATTTCAGATATTAGAAATGAGGATACCTGTACCACCTCCACGTCCAACAGAGCGGGGTGTGTGTGAGAACACTGTGTCAACAGAAAGAGCTGCTGGTGTATTTTCTGGGCGGATCCAGGTTTCAGTAAGGGCAAGTGCCTGAATGTCTGACATTTTTGCAAGTGCTTGGATGAATTCAGTTGTATTCACAGCAGATTGACAGTTCCAGAGGCCAAAAGTAAATGAAGGGTGGGGAGCAGAGGCTTTCTTAAGCAGAGCCAAGTTGTTAAGATTTCGTTGTCAATGACAGATGTGTCTTTTCCTGTTCCCATGAATGACAGATTTCTTTGTAGCACATGTTGTGTTTAGCAGATGACCAGAGAAAATAGGCAAAGCAGTAGTCGTGGCTGCCCGGGCTCTGTGGCCACACTGAAGCATCAGCTTCCTAGTTTTCAGATCAGAGCTTGTTCTGTTGGCAGTTTCGGATTCAGACTCTTTTAAACTTGGATTTTCGTGAAAATCCCGCCCCAGATTTTCAGCTTGCAATCAACAGAGGGTGTGACTGCCTCTCCTGTTGATGCTCAGAGAATTAAACTTAAGTGCTCAGTCCAAACAAAGCCTGACAATGACCCACTATCAATATCTACTCAAAGCAAGTTTCGATTCACCCATCTAGCTGACAAGACCTTCCTAGTTTTCAGATCAGAGCTTGTTCTGCTGCAGTTTCGGATTCAGACTCTTTTAAACTTGGATTTTCGTGAAAATCCCACCATACCACTACCGTGCTACCGCGGGCTGCGGTATGTCGTGAGCGCGCTACAGAAGTTAATGGGCGTGCAACATGAGCTGCTGGGCTTGCCACAACGAGCCAATGGGCTTAGCTCAGTGATATCACACTGACGAGACGTCACACTGGCAAAATCTTTTTGGCGGCTAGAACCGAGCGTTCCATGCAGCTAATGCTGC